CATTTACAGCCAGCCCCCTCTGATGTGCATAAAGGCCCCAAGCTCACCCCTCTTGCCTTAGTGTTTCCACTGCACTGCTTCACACTCACGGGAACACCCAGGTGTGGCTCTCACCCTCCCAGCTATAATTGACCCCCAAAGCAGCCCTGCCCGCTTGCTTCCACATTCCACGCCCCTGGTTTCTGATTTGTGTGTGTTCCTCAAGCCCAGAGGAGACATCCAGGATCATCAATGCCTGACGTGCTCTCTGCCAGCCCTGTCTCCCACCCTTGCATGGTCTTTTCCTGTTGTTTTTCGTCTCTCTGCTCTTTTCCCCTTCATTCTTCACTAAGCATTTTCCACTGGACCCAATAGCCTATAAGGCAGAGATTATAGGTCCCAGTGGTGAACATACACTGGTTGTTTCCCCAGCATTCTCTACCCTGCCCCTTTGTTCATTCCCAGTCCTAGGTTCTTCCTTGAGGGACTTTGTTGCTTCCTCCACTTGTTAAGAATTCCAGGTTCTAGAGATGGACTATCTGGGCCCACTCTACCACTTACCAGTTGTGTGAACTTTGGCAAGCTGCTTAACGTCTCTGTGCCTCATTAGTAAAACATGGAGATAATAATAGTTCCTACCCCAGGGGGTTCTTCTGAGGATAGCTAATCCTAATTAATATAAGGACTTTCTGTGACCTACTATTCTTCCCCATGGGTGAGGTGGGGTGGGTTGAGGTGGAGTGGACACTGGCTCCAGGGGTGGATGGTGAGTAGCCTAACATTTCCTGCAAACATGGGTTCAATAAAGGACAGAAATGGTACGAACCTAACAGAAGTAGAAGATATTAAGAAGAGGTGACAAGAATACACAGAAGAACTATACAATATATCTTCAGGACCTAGATAATCACGATGGTGTGATCACTCACCTAGAGCCAGACATCCTGGAATGCGAAGTCAAGTGGGCCTTAAGAAGCATCACTACGAACAAAGCTAGTGGAGGTGATGGAATTCCAGCTGAGCTATTTCAAATCCTGAAAGATGATGCTGTGAAAGTGCTGCACTCAATATGCCAGCAAATTTGGAAAACTCAGCAGTGGCCAGAGGACTGGAAAAGGTCACTTTTCATTCCAATCCCAAAGGAAGGCAATGCCAAAAAATGCTCAAACTACCACACAATTGCACTCATCTCCCATGCTAGTAAGGTAATGCTCAAAATTCTCCAAGCCAGGTTTCAACAGTATGTGAACTGTGAACTTCCAGATGTTCAAACTGGATTTAGAAAAGGCAGAGGAACCAGAGACCAAATTGCCAACATCTGTTGGCTCATCGAAAAAGCAAGAGAGTTCCAGAAAAACACATATTTCTGCTTTACTGACTATATCAAAGCCTTTGACTGTGTGGATCACAACAACTGTGAAAAATTCTGAAGGAGATGAGAATACCAGACCACCTGACCTGCCTCTTGAGAAACCTGTAGGCAGGTCAGGAAGCAACAGTTAGAACTGGACATGGAACAACAGACTGGTTCCAAATAGGAAAAGGAGTATGTCAAGGCTGTATGTATTGTCACCCTGCTTATTTAACTTATATGCAGAGTACATCATGAGAAATGCTGGGCTGGATAAAGCACAAGCTGGAATCAAGATTGCCAGGAGAACTATCAATAACCTCAGATAGGCAGATGACATCACCCTTATGGCAGAAAATGAAGAAGAACTAAAGAGCCTCTTGATGAAAGTGAAAGAGGAGAGTAAAAAAGTTGGCTTAAAGCTCAACATTAAGAAAACTAAGATCATGGCATCTGGTCCCATCACTTCATGGCAAATAGATGGGGAAACAGTGGCAGACTTTACTTTGGGGGGCTCCAAAATCACTGCAGGTGGTGATTGCTGCCATGAAATTAAAAGATGCTTACTCCTTGGAAGTAAAGTTATGACCAACCTAGATAGCATATTAAAAAGCAGAGACATTACTTTGGCAACAAAGGTCCGTCTAGTCAAGGCTATTGTTTTTCCACTAGTCATGTATGGATGTGAGAGTTGGACTATAAAGAAAGCTGAACACCGAAGAATTGATGTTTTCGAACTGTGGTGTTGGAGAGGAGTCTTGAGAGTCCCTTGGACTGCAAGGAGATTCAACAAGTCCATCCTAAGGAAAATCAGTCCTGAATATTCATTGGAGGGACTCATGCTGAAGCCGAAACTCTAATATTTTGGCCACCCGATGGGAAGATCTGATTTGAAAAAGACCCTGATACTGGGAAAGGTTGAAGGCAGGAGGAGAAGGGGATGACAGAGGATGAGATGTTTGGATGGCATCACTGACTCAATGGACACGAGTTTGAATAAACTCTGGGAGTTGGTGATGGAGAGGGAGGCCTGGCGTGCTGCAGTTTATGGGGTGGCAAAGAGTCGGACACACTGAGCCACTGAACTAAATGGAATGAACATAGCTCATCCCTAGCCTTAGTGATGGGTTCAGAAGGGAAACCAGTACTCCTCCCAGCCAGTGAAGCACAGGAAGACCTGCTGGGGCTCCTGCAAAGTAAAGCTTCCTCTTTCTTCAGAAGGACCATTTCTCTTTCCCTGATTTGAACAAACCCACAGTAAAAAGACACCTGTGAGACAACCAGGGGAACTGAAACTCCAAGTATTATTAATAAATGAGATTGAGGAATTGTTAATGTTGTTAGGAGTGATAATGGTATTGTGGCTTTGTAAAACACTGAGGTTATGGAGATAAGCACATTACAGTGAATATTTGATGCTGGAATGTGCTTTACAGGGCTTCCCTGGTGGCGGTAAAAAAATCTGCCTGCAATGCAGGAGACCTGAGTTCGATCCCTGGATCAGGAAAATCCCCTGGAGGAGGGCATGGCAACACACTCCACTATTCTTGCCTGGAGAATCTCATGGACAGAGAAGCCTGACAGGCTACAGTCCATGGGGTCGCACAGAGCCAGACACCACTGAGCGACTAAGCCTCAGTATGTGATTTAAAATATCTACCCAACTCTCCCCCAACCCCCAACCCCTACCCCCGGCACCAAAAAATGTCAAGAGGGACATAGATGAAATAGGATTGACAAAATGTTAACATTGTTAAAGCTGGATGATAGGTAGGTACATGGAGATTCACAAAACTATTTGCTTCGTTGTTGTTTAGTCGCTCAGTTGTGTCCAGCTCTTTGCAACCCCAGGGACTATAGCCCACCAGGCTCCTCTGTCCATGGAATTTTCCAGGCAAGAATATTAGAGTGGATTGCCAATTCCTTCTCCAGGGGATCTTCCCAACCCAGGAATTGAACCTGCGTCTCCTGCAATGGCAGGCAGATTCTTTACCACAGAGCCACCAGGGAAGTCCACTATTTGCTTTACTTTCATCTATTTGCAAACTTCCTTAGTAAAATAGTTTTTTGTTTCATTGTTTTTTTTTAATTTATTTTATTTATTTTTGACTGCACTGGGTCTTTTTTGCTGCATGCACACTTTCTCTAGTTGAAGCCAGTGGGGGCTGTTCTTCACTGTGATGTACAGTCTTCTCATTACGGTGGGTTCTCTTGTTGCAGAGTACCAGCTCTAGGGCATGGGCTCCATATCTGGGGCACATGGGCTTAGTTGCTCCACAGCATGTGGAATCTTCTGGGATCAGGGATTGAAGCCATGTCCCCTGCATTGGCAGGTGGATTCTTAACCACTGGCGCAGCAGGGAAGTCCTGCTTGTCTGTTTTTTAAGTCTGCCTGCTATGGAAAGAAAGGGCACTTTTGTTACCATATGCCCTTTGGATACGTTCAAACTGGAAGCAATAACATAACTTCTTGAGTCAACTGACTTAAAAATTTGGCATCTCTCTGTCTCTTCTTGGAGACCTTCAGCACTTAAGGCAAGGAGAAGGTCACCCAGAGCCACAGTATATGAGAACAGGGAGACCAGAAGAGAAGAGAGCTATGGTTTTAATTAAAGGGTTTATCAGAGCTTGATTTTTCTGTCTTTATGTATCAAATTAAATGAAGTCCTCTACTGCCTCTGACCTTGATCTATAGTGAAGCTCAGCATCTGTATAATTTAAATCACTCCTGCCACTTCTTAAATAGCCAAATGTGAGAGCTGGAAGAAACTTGAGAAAACATCCAACTGAACCATCTTATTCTGTACCTAGAGGATGTATTATAACAAGATTATGGGTCAGTGGGTGAGAAAATGAAATACTACCCATTGAACTTGGTTTCATTTCTCCCTTGCTACCCTGAGAGAATAAATAAGGCAATAAGATGAATATGCAGTCTTTATTTTCTCTAAAATTGAGGCAAAGGCAACTCTTTAGAAAAAGAAACCATCTACATGATTGAAAATGGGAAGGTCCAAACTTATACAACGTTATATGTCAATTATATCTCAGTGGAGCTGAAAAAATTGTTTTTCATTAAAAAAAAAAAAAAACTACTGGAAACAGAAAACAGGCTCCTGTGCCTTTACACAGGAACCTTTACACTGCGGCTCCAGGATGCTCAGAGGAAGGAAATAAAGTCAGCCAAGGTTGAGCCAAGATCCTCCTGAGTTGGTCCAGACTCCAGACTAGCATTACAAAGAGGAAAAAGATCAGTCAAGGGTCTTTGAGCCTACAAATCGTAGAAAGATGTAACACTGATGTTCATCACCTCAGCTGAGTGTGCTAACTGGCATTTCTGTTCTTGGTGAGGAAACTGACCCAGTTTCCCAGGTTCTTCTGCCATCCTCATGCCCAGCCTGGCAACCGCCCCATTCTCCTGGCCCAAGAGGGTGGCCGACTCTGTAAGTCTTGAAAGAGTGCTCTGTAGGTGTGACCGTATTATGCCATGAGCCAGCCTCATGAGAGGGCTGGATATGCAAAGATTTCTAGAAGGGTCAGGAGTATCGGAGCAAGCCAGGGTTCACTAGAGCAGCCTGCCAGGACAAGCCTGCAAGGTAGGCTTTCTCCTTGGTCCCCATCTCTCATGGTGTGGACTCGGCCTGATACAACCGTGCCTCTTCCACCAGATCTACTCCCACTGGATTCCCAGAAGCTCACAGCTGACATTCCACAGGCGCTCAGCCGTTTTGTTATTCCGGGCCCTGGGCGACACCCAGGTCTTCTTGCAGTCACTGGAGGGCAGAGAAAGAGAGTGAATATCCAGGAGTGAAAATGGACAGTCTGGAAAAGTTCATGTCCTCCTCCTGGAACAGATTTCTAAATGTATAAAATATATTAGATAAAAAAGAAACTAACTGTACTAAAATGCAATTTTAAAATATTTTGGGTTTTGTATGACTTTTTAAAATTTTTTAGTTTTCTTGGTGTTGAGTTGATTTACAGTGTTGTGGTAGGTGCAGGTGTGCAGCAAAGTGATTCAGTTAGACATGTAATATCTTCATTCTTTTTAGGTTCTTCTCTCATAAAGGTTATCACGGAATACTGAGTAGCTTTCCCTGTGCTATATAATAGGTCCCTGTTGGTTATCTATCTTATATACAGTATAAAATATTTTAAAAACAAATGCATAGCGTAGTAACGTGTTCATGTCACTTTGCAGTGGTTGCAGATACCACAGAATGTCACTTCTGCTCACCAATCCTTTGAAATCTGGTGGTGATTAGACCCCAGGCTAGCTCATCTAGTAGACAACAAAATGTCCATTCTTACATTCCATCAGTTAATGCCAATCTTGGCATCTTTGGCAGAGTTCACATTGGAAAGCAGTGGCTTTACCCTGGAGCTTTGTGCTATGTGCTATTTAAAAATTCATGAAGGAAGTCAGCCAAAAGCTTCAAGGAAAAGAAAAAGGCTCTTGCAAAGGCTTATCTGCAAATGTGACACACAGGTTTCAAACAGAGCCATGAAACCAACTCTTATTGTTGTTGTTGAAACCAGTTCTTGCAATGTTTCAAAGCTGTTCAGTCGCTAAGTCATGTCTGACTCTGTTGAGACCCCCATGGACTGTAGCCTGCCAGGCTCCATGGGATTTCCCAGGCCAGAATACTGGAGTGGGTTGCCATTTCCTTCTCCAGGGAATCTTCCTGGCCTGGAGATTGAACCTACATTTCCTGCATTGGCAGGCAGGTTCTTTACCACTGAGCCACCAGGGAAGCCTAGGTATCAAATCTAAGCTTCCTTTAAAAAGAAAAAGCACTTGGTTTACTGGCCCAACCTGAATCTGGATTCCCCCATCAGGCACACAGCCGCTCCACACCTGAAGTACTTGCCGCTCAGAGGCTCCAGGCCCTCAGCCAGCGCACAGTGCAGGCTGGTCTGGGCCCCCTCCCACGTCGTCTTCAGGAAGGGGGAGAAGAGCCGCCAAAGCAGGCACAGCAGGAAGGAGTGTCGGACCAACTCGGAGCGGACGATGCCCGGGTGCACCGCATAGGTGGTGACCCCCGTGCCTAGGGCAAAGAGGGCACAGTTAGACCAGAGACACTCCCAGGCCAGGAAAACAGCTCACCTCCTGGACCAATGTGCACAAGTGACAAGAAGGGCCTCGGGAACCCCTGTGTTCTAAAGACACCACTTCTAGCCAGGTGGTGGTGGTAGTTTAGTCGCTAAGTCGCCAGGTAGGATCTCACAAGTAATCATTGAGGTTACCCAGAGAGATCTATAACTTTCTCAGCCTTCTATGCACCAGATGGAACGCTTGGTTGCAGGTCCTTCTATTTCAGTGTCATCTTTTCTTTTTAAGATTCTTTTATGTGGACCATTTTTTAAAGTCTTTTGTTTAATTTGTCACAATATTGATTCTGTTTGTTTTGGTCTTCTGGCCACTAGGCCTATGAAACCTGAGCTCCCAACCAGCAATCGGATACATATCGCCTGCACTGGAAGATGAAGCCACTGGACCACCAGGGAAGTCCCTGTTTCAGCGTCATCTTAATCTTTGGCTTAAATGCTATCTTTGGAATTTCTACTGGAGGATCTCAGGGATAACAATCCTGTTAGAAGGTAGGAAGCTAGGACCTTGTTGTAAACTGCATTTGCCAGGCAAGCACATTTGATGAAGTGTATAGGTTGAGGGGTGTTGATGGATATGATGAGGGCTACTGATAGGCACCTAAGACACGCCTGCTACCTCTACTGTCTTCAGTATTTATTACATACAAGGGCTGTGCTACATGTTTTACATGTTATTTCATTTGACTCTCAAAGAGGTTCATGAGGTAAGCAATACTAAGAAGCCCATTTATAGCTAAGGAAACTGAGTTCTCATCAGACAGGTTAAGGACGGTGCCCAAGGCCCCACCTAGCAGGCTGCAGAACTAAGGTCTGAACCCCGATGTGGAGCAAAGAGCATGGACTTCCCAGCTGCCTGGATTTGAATCCTATCTCATTTAGGAACAATATATCCTGCTTGGGCAAGTTTCTTAAGATATCTGTGCTCATTTCTTCCTTTGTAGGGAGGGGAAACATAATAGCATTTACCTCATAGGAATATTGTATTAAATGAGTAAAGACATCAATAGTACACGGCACACACAAACTCTTAATTTTTGTTGTCATTACTAGCATTTTTTAACTTTTTATTTTATATTGGAGTATAGGTGATTAACAATGTTGTGATAGTTTCAGATGCACAGCAAAGGGACTCAGCCATACATATACACGTGTCCATTCTCCTCCAAACTCCGCTCCCACCCAGCCCGCCACAGGACATTGAACAGAGTTACCCTATCCTTCTACTTTCTGCATTCTGATAGTAAATACCATTTCCCCCAAACTCTGGCTTATTCACTAGAGCAAACGGCCCTCCAGATTCAAAGATATCAAAGTCAACAGCTCAACAAAAACTCTAGGGGAGCATGGAATCATAGGATTAAGAGTGGCCTCACCTCCCCTTACAGCTGAGGGGATGAAGTCAAGGAAGATTAAAGGGACATGTTTGCATATACACGTGGCTCTACATGTGGTAGAGTAAGAACTCAGACCCAAGTATCTGAAACCCTGACTCCAGGCAGCGAGTGGCCGTTCTGTAGCTCAGCTCACCACGTAAACCTCAGCAGAAGGCCCAGTGAAGGAAGCAACCTGATTTAAATCTCAGTCCCCACGTTCCAGTCCTTATCCTTCATTTGCCATACAATCTTGGGCTGGCCACTTCTCTGAATCTCAGTGTGGACGCATAAAACAGTAAAAACAATACCTATTCTGCCTGTTGCAAGAGGTTGTCATTAAAAAAATCAGATGAGGGCTTCCCTGATGGCTCAGTGGTAAAGAATCTGCCTGCCAATGCAGGAAACACAGGTTCGATCCCTGATCCAGCAGGATCCTTTATGCTGTGAAGCAACTAGACTTGTGCACCACAACTATCGATCCTGTGCTCGAGAGCCCAGGAGCCGCAACTACGGAGCCCATGTGCCCCAACTACTGAAGCCTGCCTGCACTAGAACCCACGCTTTGCAACAAAAGAAGCCACCGCAATGAGAAGCCTGCACACTGCAACTAGAGAGTAGCCCCTACTCTCTGCAACTAGAGAAAAGCCCTCACGGCAATGAAGACTCAGCACAGTCAAAAATAAATAAAATTATTTTAAAAATCAGATGAGACGATAAATATGAAATACTGGGTTCACCAAAAAGTCCGTTCAGGTTTTTCTATAAGACGTTATGGAAAAACCCAAAAGAACTTTTTGGCCATCACAATAAGATGCAACAAAACACATAATAAGGTTTATAGGTTTTCCTGACCCCTGTTCAACTTTAACAGTCCTTCCCAAGGCAAAGACTCTGTTTTATAACCTCATTCATTTTTCACTCTGTTTATAACCTCATTCTCCTTAGTGCACAGAGCTGCCTCTGAAATAAGCATGTTTGACATTCTGACTTCAGAAGTTTCTGCCAACCTCGAAACTGACCTGAGTCCATGCTTTTGCTGTCTTAACTCTGGCCCTTTCTCTAGACTCACCTTTGAGCCTCTTGGCCAACTCGCGAGTGAAGAGCACGTTGGCCAGCTTGCTGTGGCAATAAGCGAAACCCCGGTTGTAGTACTTCTCACCCTGGAGATCATGGAAGCGAATCTTGCCGGCGTGGTGGACCACTGACGAGAGGGTCACCACCCGTGCAGGAGCGGACTCCTTCAGCCGCCCCAGGAGCAAGCGGGTGAGAAGGAAGTGACCTGTGAGGAGAGCCAGTGGGGGAGATGTAAAGAGTGGACTGGCAGCCTGGGCTTGGGTGTGAGAACTGGCGTATGACAGGACTTTAGCACCAGCTCACTATCTTCTGGGTGTGAACATGCTGATACCATGAGCAACTCAGCGCTAGTGGTCAGTCAGTCTGAGTTAATTGAGTCCTCAAGGCAAGGGCCAGAGCTGGACTGTAGGTAAGGCAACACAGGTGTAATCTGTAGTTATTTGTACCTTTGCCCTTGCCCCAGTCAGGGGAAACTGCGAGCTTTGGACATCTCCCCTCTAGCTATGATCACATGGCTGTGGGCATGGACAGAAGGAAGGATGAAATATTCAGGGAAAATAACACATGCTTATGATCAGAGAACATGCTCCACGATACCCTCACAAAAGCCATCGCCTTGAACTCTGAACCATAACCTCTCTCATACCTCAAGTCTCAAAGGTCTGCCTCCTCCATGGACCAACCCTTGGTTTACTTGTCACAGTAACTGACCCCCCACAGCCAAAGATCCCTGCACCCCGACATCTGGCCCTGCCTGGCAAGTCTTCATTACCATGGTTCCCTTTAAGAATGACATTCTTCTTCCTGGTATCTCCTAATTTGGGGGATTTCTTAATGGTGTGGGTAACAGGAGCTCACTTTTTTTGCACTGGTTAGGAGAGAGATAATGAAGGAAAAACCAGTATGCCTTGGTCCTCAGTCACTCAAAGATACTCACCGAGGTGGTTGACTCCCAAGTGGGTTTCAAAACCGTCAGCTGTTTTGGAATACGGGCACAGCATCACTCCTGCATTGTTGATCAGAATATGAAGCTGCTTTTCCTCTAAAGAGCACAGCCAAGGAGACCATGTGGTTAGCTCCCTGTCCCACTTCTGAGTGTTTGTTCCTTGCCTTTGGGCCTATCTCAGTGATATTCAGTAACCGCTGTCACTGGGTTTCTAATTTTGGTTGCTGTTTCTTCCTGGATACCGTTCATCCATTCATTCAGCAAATGGGTATTCAGTACTGACTCGGGGCTGGGCTAGGCACGGGGCGCACAGCGGTAAATAAGACAGACACGGTCACTGTCGTTCACAGATTTCCTAGTCCTTGGTGGGAGATGGTCATTTTCCAAGATACAGAAGAATATTAGCAGCAACAGAACTTCCTTTAGTGCCTGTGGCCCCAGAAGGTTGATTCTCAGCGTCAAAGAAGAGCGTGGCATCAGGGCCACACCTTGACGTCAAGGTACAAGCCCAGACAAGGAGCTGACACCTCCAAAATCCCCACTGCTGAGGCAAGAGGATGATAAGGATCCTGCCCAACCTGTCCACCCACTGTCCCTGAGCCAGTTCCCTGCCCTGCTAGTTCATGCGGCAGAACCTGTCCAGTGGGATCCATGACGTTTCTGATTTTATAGTCAGAGAGGGTCCAGGGTTGAGCAGCCATACCCACACCCAGCTTCCTGCCTTTCTAGTGATCTACCAGGGCCTCACCTGCCAGGAAGCCCTCAGCAAAGGCTCGGATGGACTTGGTATCAGATAGGTCCAGTTTCCGTACCAGCACCTGGGAGTTCTTTGTATCAGCTCGGATTTCACTGGCAGCAGACTCCCCCTTCAGTACATCTCGACAGGCAATGTATACTCGGGCTCCTGAGGCCAAAACAAACAGAGGACGACGTGTTCAGAGTCTGGGCTGAAGAAGAGTCTAGTAAGTGAGTTTGGGACTGGTGGGCAGAGCATTCCCCCTCACTATTCTTAAAACAGTGAGTTGCCACTTCTGGATTCTCCTTTCTATCAGCTTCAGCCCAGGCTGGGAACCCTGATTTTTACAACCCTGGTTTTATATTTACCATAGTTAAGAATCTCCTTTTCAAATAACTGACCTGATCAATATTATACACAGGCATCACTGTTTTCCTTACTTTATATAATAAGGAAGGGGCAGGCAGGAAGGAAGGTTTCAGGCCATAGAGTAAATTTGTGTCCCAGCTGGACTTGAACCCCAGGATCCTTGAGTTTCTGGCTACAACCTTCAAGCCCAGGAGGAAAGATAAGGGAACCTGAGCAGAGCTCCTAGCAAGAAAGGCAGGAGGCCCTGCTCTGTGGAAACGGAAGGGAAAGACTTGCCTCTGCGAGAAAGCTCTCTGGCCGTCTCCTTGCCGATGCCTGTGTTGGCGCCAGTGATCACCACCACCTTCCCAGAAAGCTGCACATTTGTTCTACAAACCCCGCCAGCAAAGAACTTCCTATAGGCAAAGGAAACAAAACATTTATGCACCATCTTTTCCAACCCCAGAAGGAGATTCATAAAACCCACCAGCCCTCAAAGAGGAATTTCTTTGCATTGTTGTCAGGAGACCTAAAGCAGCTAATCTTCAGGGGATGGCATTGTCCCAGTGAGGAAGGCAGTCTCCTGCTTATCAGCTCAGATGGGGAGGTGATGTGCCCGGAAGCTACAAATGATCATCAGATTAAATAAAATCAATTCTCTTGAGCTAGAGCCAATGGAGACCTTCCTCGTTAGATAACAAAGATATCTCGCTCTTAACTCTAGAGGTTCTCGGAGGTCAGATTCCTCCTCTAACCTGCGCCACAAACATGAGAGGGGTGGGCATTTGTAGAATCAGTGGTCCTGAGCCCTTGGTCTTCAATAAGCATCAGTGGTGAGTAACTGATGAACAGCACCTCCAGGGGTCCCATATGTAAACATGGCTCTTGGGTTGCCTTGCCAGTTTTAAGAGAGCCAGAATATTCTGCCATCTTATTAGAGATTTCATTCTAGCTGTCAGTGCACAGAGAGAAAAACCTCCCTTGCTCAGACCTCTGTGCGAAGAGCATTCTTTTACATAGAGTTGACCTGACAAGTTCCCCAAAATAGGACAGGAAGGAACAGACCTGACATGATCCGCACATCATCCAGCTGCCAAGCACTAGGCTAGGCACTTTGCAAGGGAATTTAATTCAATCATTCTGTTATTATCCCCATATTACAATGGAGAAAGCTGGGGCTTGAAGAAGTTCACTTGCTAACAGTGGCAAAACTGGAATCTGGACCCAGGTTTCTCTGCCAGGACCTAGAGTAATACTTTGCCCTTGATATGTCCCTTTAACCTTCTTGACCATCAGCAATTTAAAAATTCTTTACTCAGAACCCACATTTCTCTGACATCTCCAGAAATCTTACAGCAAAATAGCCATCTCCAAACATTACTTGTCAGTAGTTTCAAAGTGGGGAGAGTTTGTTTCCTTCCCAAGATGCCTGGCAAGGACCACCCATGGTAATGCAGCAAGCCCACCTTGACTGGGGATACTGAAGAAAGGGAGGTCTTCAGAGGAACCCAAGGGAGCAGAATGAAAGAGCAAGGGCTCCCCCATAAGATGACTTTCAAGCTACTTAACAGTCATCCATTCAGCCTTTCACTAGCTTCAGAATTCAAACCCGCCTCTCCTCTCCCCAGGTGCTTCCTTCTTATTTTCCACCATGGTATTCAGAACCACCTCCTTCCTTCGTGCTTTTTCTGCCTTGACTGTCTCTCCCTTGGCCTCCATCCATTTCTCTTCCTTCAGCAGCTGAGAACTCATCTACTTACAAGCTCCATGGCTCCCAACTCAGGGCTTTGTAAACTATTCAATGAATTACTGAATTAAGACAAACCTGATGGATGGAGCTGTCACATACAGGAAAGAAAGGAAGGAGGTGAGCAATCCCAAGGCAACCAGCATCTTTTCAACTTCTTTAGTTGCTGCTGCTTCAGCAAGAGCAACTTATACTCCAACTCTGTCTTGGGCTCCTCCTGGTCTGGCTCCAACTCTTGGCTGCTTCTTGCTGCTTCTCTCTCCTCCAGCTCCTCTCGCTCCTGGGCGCTCAGCAACAGCCTGGCTCTGAGTGCAGCCCAGAATCCTATTTAAATCCGAGAGCTGTCAGAGCGCAGCCTGCTGGGAGATGTAGTCCTGGGGGAGGAGGACAGGGAAAAGAGCAGAGCCTCACATTGGCAAAGAGGAGGGCAGCTGGAGAACAGTCCCCTAACTTTCCCACCCTCAGTCATTTCTCTTATCTAGGGAGTGTGTTCTCTCAACCACCCCCAGCTCCAAAATAGAATATGTTTAACTTTAGCAACAGACCCCATGATACTTGAAAAACAGAGTGATTAAAATAGACAAGAAAGAACCCCCCAGGAAACGATGAGAGAATTCAGGAGAGTGGTTTCCCTTGATGGGGAAGGAGTAGAGATGGGGTGGAGCATGTTAGGACCTTCTTGTAGGGGGTGCTGCTAGTGTTCTGTCCTTTGAGGTGGCTGCTCTTACACAGGTGTGCTCACTTAGTGAAAATTCACTGAGTCATGTACTTATCTGTGCACTTGGTGGTTTTTTTAATTTTTTATTTATTTTTGACTGTGCTTGGGTCTTCATTGTGGTGCCTGGGCTTCTCATTGCTGCGGCTTCTCTTGTTGCAGAGCACAGGCTCTAGGGCACGTGGGGCTTCGGTAGCTGTGGCTCACGAACTCAGCAGTTGCGGCCCAATGGCTTAGTTGCTCCACAGTGTATGGGATCCTCCTGGACCAGGGATCAAACCAGTGTCCCCTACATTGCAAGGCAGATTCTTAGCCACTGGCCCACCAGGGAAGCCCTTGACTGTGTTTCTGTTCTATTTCAGTGACGTTAACCCACACGTACACGTGCCAAAGAAAAGGTATAGTGTGTAGTGCATGGTCTTTAGAGTGAACTTTCTGGTTCAAATCTCAGCTGATCTATTTACCAGAGCAGTGACCTTGGGTAAGTTACTAAACCTCTCTGTTAATTCAGTTGCCTCACCTGCGTAGTGGGCGTGATAAAATATACACCCACCTTTTAAAGTATTTAATTAAATAGAAAATTTGAGACAGAAATAACACATTTAGTTGTGTGTAGAGGTTGGCTGTTGTCATTGCCGTATTGATTTCTGTCTTCTTTGCTATTTCACCTGCTTTATTCAGGGGGTTAGTGTAGAAAAGCAAGAGGCAGTGAATGCAGGGGATGTTTCAGTGGAACACTATTAAAGATGAGGGGAAACATAAGAAACAAACCTAGCAGAAACTCTCAGAGCCCTCTGGAGCTGTGTGAGGGGACGGGAGGAGAACGTGAAGGGTTCACAGCCTCTGCTCACTCAGCATTCCTCTCCTGGACAGGACTCCAAGAGTTATGCCCCAGATCCGCTCCCTCCTGCACAGATAGAGGAGGCTCCTGAAAGACATGAGTGATGAAAAAAGACTTTTGTAGCAGGCAGTTGCTCACTCCCTCACTCAGTGATTCATCCATTTACTGAACATACACTCACTGAGCATTTCTCAGTGCCATTCCTGCCCCTTGCAAATCCCAAGAACCGATGAACAGAACAAGGAGTAGTCAGACCACTCTGAAGGCGAATCCCTCTTGACTCCCAGCCTGCCTCTCCCATATCTTCCCACTTCTCCTGAAGTAGCTTCAGTTCACTGCAGCAGTGACAGTTGCAAATAGTGCAAAGTCTCTGCAGGCCCTGAGGGGAACTTCCTACTGGTGCTTCTCAATGTCTGTCTCCTTGAGATGGATGTCTGCTGGGCCCACATGGTCCTGTCGATTGGTCAGAGTCATTTTCTTCAATACCTGCTGATACTGGGTCTGCAACACCATAGATTTTATGTGAAAACAAGATCTATTGGTGTTTTATTTGAGTCTTCCTTACCCCCATGTAATCAGAGCTAGGGTCAACTAGTGAGGCAGACACAATGCCATATCATGAGAGGGAAAGTACATCTAGGAACCTCAAATCTGAGTACCTCTGTTCTAAAGTCTTGTAGGCTCCCCATCACTACTGAATCAAATTAAAATGCCCTGCCCCTGTGGAGATGATATGCAATTTATCTTAAGTTTGTCTGGGAGGCAGAGAGCCCTCAAATACAGCAAATTGTGCTCTGGAGCAGCACAGATAAGATGTTAGAAGGAAGATAAGACACCTAGAATTATGGAAAGACACAAATAATTTGCTGAAAACATGTTAAATATTGCAATTCAAAGACCATCACCAGGTGATTGATTAGCTCTACCAAATGTTAAACTATGTTAAAACCATACCAATTTAAATGGTGTGGTGAAAGTGAAGTCACTCAGTTGTATCCGACTCTCTGCGACCCCATGGACTATAGCCTACCAGGCTCCTCTGTCCATGGAATTTTCCAGGCAAGAGTACTGGAGTGGGTTGCCATATCCTTCTCCAGGGGATCTTCCTGACCCAGGGATCAAACCCAGGTCTCCCACATTGCAGGCAGACACTTTACCATCTGAGCCACCAGGGAAGTCCTGAAAACAGTGTGGCACAGGCAGGTAAATGGTCAGACAAATCAACAGAACCGAATGGAAAGCCAAGAAACAGACCCCAATACATATGGAAATATAGATATGATAAAACACCACTTCAAACTGGGGGTGGAGTGGGGCAGATGGAGTATTTAATAAAGCATAATACCTAGGTAAACAGTTGTGAAAAAGTAATCTTGATCTTTATCTTATTCTTAACACAAAAATTTCAAATAGATCAAAGATATAAATGTGAAAAACAAAACCATTAAATTATTAAGAAAAACCATTGAACAAATTTTTAAATGATTTTAAATTTATAAAACCTAATAATAAGATAGGAAATACATGCATTGCAGATAAGTATTTAATTCATTTCACATATAAAAAACTCTTAAAAATCACTAAGAAAAAAATAAAAACTCAATTAAAATAACAGTTTACAGAAAAATAAATACAGGTGGTTCTTTAATCTCACTCATAATAAGAGAAAGCAAATTAAAATTGCACTGGGAGCCACTTTTCACTTCTCAGTTTGGCAAAGATCAAAAAGATTATAATATGATCCACTGGTTGAGGGTATGAATAAATAATGATGAAATGCTACTGAAAGAGTTGATTGTTACAGAGAGAAGTGTAGAAACATCTAATTAATCAAAGCTCTTACCTGTTGACCTAGACATTCCATGTTCTTGTTTTTGTAAGATTGTCATTGCAGCATTGTATAATAGCGAAAGTTTGAAAACCCTTCTAAATGTCCTTTGATAGTATAGCCATACAATGGATACTATACAGCTGTAACAAAGAACAATTTTTTTAACATAGGGACATGGAATAATCTTTAAGAACATTGGGTACAAAGTCAAGGAATAGAACAGTGTTTATAATATGTTGCCATTTGTTTAAAAAAGAATATATGGGCATATTTATTTGATATACATAGACCATCTCAGAAAAAATAAGAAGTAGTTAACAATGGTTGCTTCTAGGAGGACAGGGGACAGGAATAGGAGGCTTTTCACTGAATGTACTCTTTTTGCACCCTGTGAACTTATAAGCCATGGCTTATTAAAAATTAAAGTTTTGAGCAAAAAGACCCAGGTCACTTTGAAACAAATTGCTTATTTATTTTTGTTAAAGTAACCATTGCAATATCATAAAGCAAGGCTATTTCTCAAAACTGTGTGGAGATATCCTTAAACATGTGTTTCTGTATAAGCAAAACCAACATTTAAAATTTTTTTATAGGAGGATAATTGTTTTACAGTATTGTGCTGGTTTCTGCCATATGTCATATGAATCAGCCTCAGGTATACACACGCCCCTTTCCTCTTGAACCTCCTTCCCATCTCCCACCCCATCCCACCCGTCTAGGTTGTTACAGAGCACTGGATTGAGTTCCCCCTGTCACAACAGAAAATTCCCACAAGCTATCTATTTTACATATGGTAACATAATGTTTCCACGCTACTCCTCCAGTTTGTCCCATCCTCTCCCTCCCTCCCACAGTCTGTTCTCTGTGTCTGCGTCTCCATTGCTGCCCTGCAAATAGATTCATCAGTACCATGTTTCTAGATTCCATACACATGCATTAATATGCAATATTTGTTTTTCTCTTTCTGACTTCACTCTCCACAGTAGGCTCTAGGTTTATCCACCTCATCAGGACTGACTCAAATGTGCTCTTTTTTTTAAAGCTGAATAATATTCCAGTGTATATATGTACCACAATTTCTGCATCCATTCATCTGTTGATGGACATCTATGTTGCTTCCATGTCCTAGCTATCTTAAAAAGTGCTGCAATGAACACTGGGGTACATGCATCTCTTTCAATTACGGTTTTCTCATGGTATTTGCCCAGTAGTGGGATTATTGGGTCACATGGTAGTTCTATTCCTAGTTTTTTAAGGAATCTCCCACTGTTCTCCACAGTGGTTGTAGCAATTTACATTCCCTTCAACAGTGCGAGAGGGTTCGCTTTTCTTCACGTCCCCTCCAGCATTTATTATTTGTAGATTTTTTAGTGATGGCCATTCTAACTGGTGTGAAGTGATATCTCATAATAGTTTTGATATGCATTTCTTTAATAATGAGTGATGTTGAGCTCCTTTTCATGTGTTTGTTGGCCATCCATATGTCTTCTTAGGAGAAATGTCTGTTTAGGTCTTCTGCCCATTTATTTTATTGGGCTGTTTGTTTATCAGGTATTGAGCTGTATGTGCTACTTATATATTTTGGAGATTAATCCTTTGTCAGCTGTCTCATTTGCAATTATTTTCTCCCATTCTGAGGGTTGTCTTTTAATATTGTTGTCTTTTATTATTTCCTTTGCTGTGCAAAAGCTTTTAAGCTTAATTAAGTCCTATTTGTTTACTTTTGTTTTTATTTCCATTACTCTAGGAGGTGGGTCAA